TCTCTAAAAAAATAGGTCGTTGAATTCTTCTCCTTAAAATATGTAATGAATTCGAAAAACACCTACCACAAATAAATCTCCCCCAAAACAGAGGAGAATTTTATGCAATATTTGTGCAAGATTTTTTTCAAGGTAAAATTGATTAGGAAAATAATTGGCAGAAATAGTTATGAAACAGATTTTTTCCCCCTCTAATCCTGCAGTTAGTTCTGATGATGATGATGATGTTTCAAAGTACTTTTTCTTAGTGAAAAGTTTTGAAACATTTGGCAAAAGTGCAGAAAATAAATTGTGTCAAAATTTGTAAAGAAGGAATAAACCTCCTCGTTCATTACTGGCAATTTTCAAAACGACACCACTGAAACACACAGAATGTTTAATCGTAGAACGCTGTCGCAGCTGTGCTTTCCAGTTACACTGGGAGCTGGCCTGGCTTCCCATTGCCCTCTGACTTTAACTCGGGCAGAACTGAGCCCGGGCTCAAGCAGACAGCTACTCCGGGGCGCAACACGGAAAACAAATTACTTCCCTCTGCAGCGTGCGGGGGACACTCCGCATCTCAGGCTGTACCTGAGCTAATCAAGCCGCGTATGTGCCACTTCAGCAGCCCGGCGCTGGGAATCGATGGCAGATCAATCCCTGGGCGCTGACAGCTCAGCGCGCAGCGCCGCACAAAAGCGGGACGGGGCGAGCCCCGCAGCCCAGAGCGGGCACGGGCGGCTCTGGCTCCGCGGCGCTGCCGCAGCCCCGGCCCCAGCCCCGGCCCCAGCCCGCTCCGCCTCGGCAGCATCGCCCCTCCGCACACGGGCTGTCCCCCGAGCCGCGGGACCGCGGGGAATTGCTGGGGGCGCCTGGTAGGTGGCTACGCGGGGCAGAGGAGCGGGCAGGTCCCCACGAGAGCTCCGGGCATGGGATCCGGGTGGGTGCGGGACTCCCCGAGGGAACCGAGCGGGACCTCCCCGGGCGCGGGGCGAGACACCGGGGGGGCTGTGCGGGACCGACAGGCAAAGTGCGGGAGCGCTCCGGGAGAGAACAGAGAAGCTTGGGGGTGGGACCCGTACAGTCACGGAGCAGGATCCCCGGGGCGTGGAGCGGGACTTCTGGGGAACACCGACCGCCCGGGAATGAGCGGATCGGGATCCCTGGAGGCAAGGCTGTGGCACGCTGCGGGACCGCGGAGAGCGGAGCGGAGCCCCCCGAGGGCGCTGCAGGACCCCCGGGGGCACAGGCAGGGCCCGGCCCTCTGCGCGCCGGGACGGGAGCGGGGCGCGGGGCCGGGGGATGCCCGGGGCCGGGGAGGGGACTGGCCTGAGCCCGCCTGCCGCCGCCTGCGCTCCCCTCCCACCTCGGGCGGCCCCGGGCGGAGCGCGGCGGGGCGGCCGGCGGCGGCTCAGGTAGGCAGCGCTGCCCCGGGGAGCGGGAGCGGCTCGGGGGGGACAGCGAGGGAGCTGCGGTGCCGGAGGTGCGGTGTCTTCTCCTTGCGTTTTGCGGGACGAGCAGTCGGGGGAGGAGGAGGAAGAGGATGAAGAGCGGTTCACGGGATGCCAGCTGGGGCAGGGGGAGCCTCGGCCGGCTTCGCTCCCCGCCCAAGTGTTGCCCGGTGCCGTCCGGCAGGGACGTGCAGCCGCCCTGCAGGGAGGCGGCTCCGGGCACCGCTCTGTCCCTCGGAGGGGCCGCGTCCTGCCCAGCTCTCCGCCGCTGCTTTGATGGCCTGCGCGGGACCGGATCAATAGCGATGCCTCTGAGTCCTTTCGCATTGCAGAGCACTGCCTTGTCTTTTAGAAACTCGTTTGGGTTAAAAAGTAATCTAGCTTTAAGCAGTGGGAATGGCTACAGTACCTCCTGTGGCTGAGGAAATGTGGAAGGAGTTTCTTCTCTGTGAGCGTCCGATTGAAAGTGGACTTAACTAAGTTTGGGGATAGTTAACGAGATTTTAGAACTAAGTGGATTTTGAAGGCGCTTCCTCTTTTTTTTTTTTTTAATTACTTTTTAAATGTTCATCTGTCAGACAGTGAAAATTCTCTCTGCTTATTTTCTGAATTTTCTTGCCTGCGAGATCGCTCTGTATCAGTACTATTTTACATTTGCCTAATGCAAAGCACAGCTTCTGGTTATTCTGGGATCTGAACTCAGTGTGTCTGCTGGGCAAGGTAGACCTCAAGATCTGAGCAGCGGCAGTGTATTGATTCCTTCCATTAGCGGAATTTACAGATCTACTGACAGATTCCTTTTAACACAGTCGCTTTCCCAGAATTAAAGTTCTCCTCGGAGCGCCTGTCGCTGCTCTAGGCCAATAGATGGCATAAGGCACTCAGGCTTACGTCCTAAGGGGCAGGGGGAGCAGGCATACCTTCTGTATGGGAGCCGGGAGTTTCAGAGGGGATGTGTCAGTCCAGTTCTGGGTGTCTGACTTGGGATACCTGGGACAGATCTCATTTTCAGAGATATGTCCTGAACCACTCAGTCTTACTTTCCTCAGTCAAAATTGCAGCATTTCCCAAAATCTTTATGTCCCCTAATCAGTTAGGGTTAAATAGCCTCCAGTTTTGGTAAGATTTGATCTGCGTTGATATCCTAAGCCATGAAGTAGAGGTGGCTTTTCAACTTTGCAAGATGTGTCTCATTGCTGCTGCTGGGGGGATGCTGCCCATGGCAGCAGTGTTGAAACCAGTAGTCATTTGGGGGAATGAAAGATAATTGGCTTATAAGGAAGAAACTTTTTAGTTTCTGTATCTAAATTTCTGCTGAGATAGCACTGTGGGTAGACAAAAATGATTTTATGTTCTGAAATTGTGCAAATTATTTAAATAGAGGTGGGTAGCTAAATGATGGTAAAGGAACTTTAACTGACTGTAGTCATACCTAGTTTTTACATGGGTACTTCTTAGTTGTAGATTTCAAAACAGTTATCTTTAAAAAGAGGTGCAGTATCATTAGATTTTTTTTTCAATTTCAGGGATTAAAGTATGGGGAAGGTCCAGAAATAATGTCAGATTTCCTAAATCAGTTATTTACTTGTCTGTTAAATCTGCTTTATACAGTCCGGACAGATTTTAAGTGGGTCTTGCAATTAAAAAAAGAATAAATCTGTATGTATTCATAGCAAAGGCATTAAAGCTCTTTTTAAAGAGACCTTCTTCCTTGTCTGTAAATGTCCATGTCTTATTATCTGTCTCAGCACTAAGGCAACCCACAGAAGTTGTAGCAGCCTTTCAACTTCCTATTTTTGAGTGTGGGCAAAAGAAAATCAATGATCAGCTTTCAGCTGAGCTGATGCAAACTGTAGTGTGACCCCTAGTATTGTTCCTGGGACAGGTGAGGTCAGATGTTTTACTAAAATGTCCTTTGTAGAAACAGAGAGGTCCTGAAGGAGAAGCATTTCTTTGCTCACCCTCTCTAGGACTCAGCAACTTTGCCAGGGCAAGAAGAATAAAACTACCTTAAGCCTGAAAAGATGACAAATCGGTGTTTAGCCACCAGTTTCACCTTAGTTGTGCAATTATAGCCAGAGGCAGGATAAAATCAACAACTAACACTCAGTGCCAAGACCAATTAGCCTCAGTGCAAAACAAGGCTCTGCAGTGACTGAGCTGAGCTTCAGAGGCACCTTAAACCTGCGTGGAGAGTGGAGGCACTTTGAGCACTCAGCACTGGTGCATCAGCCAGACGTGTGCATTTTGTTCTGGCTGAGCCCCCGGCCAGGCTGGTGTTGGACACGAGTGCTGGGATAACTCCAGAGCCTGCTCCCCTGGCTCCTGCTGCTGGCATCCCTGTCCCTGCCACCGGGCAGGCTGAGCACACATGCTCTCAGGTGAAACAAGTGCTGCTGAACAAGGAGGCTGTGTGAAAGGCAGGGTCTTGGTGAGTGGTCAGAGCACACCTTACCCTGTTGGGCAATACCTGTACTAGTAGCCTGACCTTCAGCTTGGGTGCTTGAAAACAGGTTGACACCATGCTTTTGGTCTTATCTGCTGGAGTCCCTGTCTGAGGCCATTTGTTTGTAGCATGTCTCCTGTCTAAAGACTGTTATTTAAGGAACTTGTTTACTTCCTATTGGGGCACATATATTAAAAAGATCTGCCCAAGGCTAATGACTAGAAGAAACAAGGCTCAAGTCTCTAAACTTGCATCATTATCTGCCTTGCAAGTTTTCATTTGTGGGACATCTGCCAAGGACACATAATAAAACAGAGATCATGAATAAATAAAATGTATTCCACTAATCTCTGGATAATTTCTTTTTATCTTGCCTTTGTTTTTATTTCTTGTTTTTAGTCTATTATTTTATTTCTGTTAAGCCTTGCCTTTTAATTTATGGCATCACCTTATTTTCTTCCTGTGCCTCTTTACTTTCTGAGGAGGAAGGCATCCCAATAAAATCAGGCAGGATTCTGTCATTGCCATTGCCTGGTTCTGTGTGAAGGACCAAATCCTCAGCTGACAGAAACTGTCCTTGACCTGTTCCAGACAATGGTTCTGCTCCAGTCAATGCCAGGGGGTCATCTGCTTCAAGGTACTATCTCAGTATGTTACTCCATTTTTTCTTTTTTATACCTCATTTTCTTCCGGTCCTTTTCATTTTCCCATATTTTACTGATGCTTCTTTCCTTAATACTGTACTTTCCATTTTATGTGAATGAGTTCTGCTCATCTTGTCTCATTCATAATGTACCTGACGTCCTTACAGCAGTGTGTTAAACTGCTGTCATCTGTCGTTTGTGGATAACTGGCTCATTTTTCTTGCAAGGGCGTTCTGTATGTGACAGTTGCTTGTAATGGTTTTCTTTTGGTTTTCATTCTGTTTTAGAGGAGATGACTTCTAGAGTATTTATCTCTTGCAGAGGGAGATGGTGTTGACTGTGTTCGTCCTTAGTTTCTGAGGGAGCTCATTCCACAGTAATTTTCAAGAGCCATCTGTCTTCTGGGAAAATGAGCTTTATGATTTGAAGGTCCCATTGTGGTCACTGTTCTTGTTCGGCTTAGTTTGCTGCACATTTGGGGCCATTTGCTGTGTTACAGGTAAAGCCTGACACCTCGATTTTTGTGCACTGTTCAGCGAGAAACTCAGGTAGGTCTAGAGTAAACATGGTGGTCTTTGTGTATTGGTAATGTTGATATAAAGGTGTGGAAGGGCTCACTCATTTTGTCCTCTCCAAATGGTTTCTGTCACTGATGTCTGTCTGCTGGGTATTCCTGATGTCCCTAGTCATAGCATGAATTTCTGTTCTCATTTCTTTTATCCACAAACTCTCCAGCTCATCTTCTTGCCCTTCAAACTAAGGTCTCTTACTCATTTTGCCTTCCCATCCCTGACAGGTGAGTGGGGACTGAGATGAGGGGTCTTGGTGTACCAGCTCTCATAGCTGCTGAGGAATTTCTGGGAGGGGGCTCCAGGAGAGGCCACTACAGCTCAGCCCTTCAGGGCTGTCTTTTGTTCAGAGCAGCCACTGCCCTGGCTGCAGACATCAGCCTGACTTTGGCTTGCTCAGTGTCTGCTGCCATCTCCTCTGGGTAGGTTTATGTCTTAAAGGTTGACCTTGGGCAGGGAGGGCTGCTGGGCTGTGAATCCAGAATCAATCCCGTGGCAGATGGGCAGCCTGGAATCATCCTCACCTCTGCCAGCATCGGCAAGAGATGCACTTGTCCCTTCTTGCCCTGTGAGGTGTTGTGGAGTATTCTGGAGGTGCACCTGTGCAGCTGGAGCTGTGTATGCTCTGAACAGGACTATATTAAGGTAGAGGCTAAGAAAATAACTTTCCTCTTTTCCCCTTTTTTGAATTTTTTTGGTCGTACCAGCCTGCCGGTAAAAACCAGCAAAGGTCTCATGGGCAAAATTGAGTGTTGCTGGTTTAAGGAGGATAGGTTATTTATGATCTGAGGCAGAATTTAGCTTCCTCCTTTTTCTTCCTTTTTTACATTTTTGTGCTTTGTTCATCAGCTTGGACAAGCAGTTTAGATGCCAAGTGATATTTTAAAAACTGGTTAATTCTTCCATATGTTTAATCGTTATAGCGCAGTGCTACTCTAATGACAGGCTCAAAGCTCAGCTTGTGCAGAGGATTTTTTGTCTTCTCCTCAAAGCAATGGCAGAGACTTTATGAACTTGGGAATGTTGAAGTAGAACGTGTTGGCCTGCTACATGACATTGAAAAGGTCACATCTCAATCTCAGGTTCAGCTTCCAAAGTATGGAGCTCAAGGTATCTGCCTCACGGCATTAATAAAGTGCTATGAGATTTATGGACTAAAACTATCTTGTACATCAATCTTGTAAAACTTAGTATTGGCAATTTTGTGCCCCATAGAGAGTTTCATATTTCTCTGTTTTTTGTGCTTCGAGCCTAACAAATTGACTGTTGATGTTCATGTAAGCACAGGCAGGTTACCTGTGGGAGGCTGATAACCAAATCAGGAAAAATCTATGACAGCTTTGGTTTGCATGGAGGAGTTACAACACAGCCTGGGTAGTGTCATAAAAATTGCAAGCACTTCTGATTGCTATGCTGTGCTCCTTGCTTCTCTTCTATCTCCTCTCCTTCAGCAGACAAGAGCTGTTGCTTCTTCCAGCAGTGTTAACTGCTGTGGAGGCTTCAGCTCTAAAACCCTTTAGGTACTGTGGTGGTGTGAGTTACAGGGAGCAAGGGAGCTCTCACTCCTGGCTTCAGTGAAAGAAGAATGAGCCTCATCGTTTGTGAGATACAATTACAAATCTACAATATTAATTTTGTGGACAGTTGTTGTCAATCAGTATGTTTAAAACAGCAGTGGTAGAAGACTGGGTATGTCCCAGAGAAGATTACTTTTTATTGAAGACTTTATCTTATATATGTGTGTGTGTATATATATAATTCTTCAGTTATTTCAATCAGTTACTGCTGCTTTAATTAGGTTACGATTCCAAAGCTGCTTTGTAATTTTATGAACTCCATTTATTGCCTGTTGAGAGAAGAGCAAATAGAGCCATAAGTTAGGTTTTCATTTTGAAAACAGCTCACTGATTACTGCAGCACAAATGTAAATCAGTCCTCCATGGTTTAGCTGTAGCTAGTGACAAGCATGAATGATGGTTTCAGCCTGACATTTTAGGGGCAGACACCTTTTCCCTTGAATAAGCTGCTGTAAATGATGCTGCCTTGTATATTCTTCTTAAGCTAAGAAGATCTGTGTGTCCTCCTGTCCACTGCAATGTTTGCTCTGAAAAGGGCAGCCAGCATAGATCAATACTGCTCTTTTAATTCACCCATGAAATTGGTAAAAGCATGAGCTGGACAAGGGGGATAGAACGAGTTCTTGGTGATATTTTAGCTCAGTGTTATTAGTCTGGAAACAGTAATGGTGTTTATGTTCTCATTGTAAGCTGTTCTTTTCAGGGAGTCGTGATTTTGTTTTACAGTTTGCTGTGTGTTAGGCCAGGCAAAGAGAAAATTTTCCCACTTACTTTGATTAATTTTGTTATAATGACAGAAAATTACAAAACAAAGGAAAAATTAGCTCATGATTCACATTGAAACCTGTGAATCTTGAAAGTGAGAAAAGCTTATTCTGCAAGCACTTGATGCTATGCAAAATACTTGTTCCTGGGTCTCTGGGATGCTCCATCCATTTCCTGACCATGAAGTCAGTGTTTTCTGAGGTCTTCTGTAGCTGCTAGAGCCAGAGGATGTGTTTCAGCCTTCTTAAGCTATCACCTTGGAGCTTAGCAAAAGCCCTGGTTTGAGGGGCTTTTTTAAATTCATTAGCTTGTAAGAAGTCCTACGTGACTTGAAAAGACTCCTTTGGCTTGTGTGCATTCAACTCTATCTGAAAACTTTGGACCAAGTCTCTGAAATATTTGGACTGAGTCTCAGCTGGCACCTCTGAAAGCTCCTGGCCCTGGGACTTGGGTCTTAGGCAATCAGAAATGTTCTCTTAGATAAGTATTACTGATTTCAGATTATATCAAGAGTTTATGTGTTTAGATACAAAGGGACTGTGGGAAAACTGGCTCACAAATGAAGTGAGAAGCAGAAGTTGTCGTTTTTCTCTCCAGAGTTTTACTGAGCACATACTAAAGCGCTTGATTCAAAAGCAGAGAGAAAGAAAAATAATTTCAAGTATCTTCTTTTTCTTCTAGAGAGTTGTAGATTAGCACTGCCTTTAAGGCCAAGCAAGTTTTTGCTTACAGTGATGTTCAGTGGTACTTTGCTTCAAGCAGCAGCTTATAAAGGGAAACTACCAACAACACTCAAATATGTATTGCTCTTAGTTTTTTCCAATGCACTGCATATGCTTAATTAACTCTAATTCTTTCTTGGAAGACATGTACTTAGGATCTCAGATCTCCCTCTGGACCTCTTGGTGTGTGGTGCCTTCAAAATCCTGGGGGCTTGTTGTGGGAATTTATGAATCTATTTAGCTGAAGTTTAGCCTAGGCAATAACCTAAGAAAACCCTTGTCCTGTTAAAGTCTTCCACAAAACATCTGCTAATTTTGTGGGATAGGATTTATACAGCTACACACCTTCATTTTTCCTTTCTGGACATTTGTGTGGGTCATCTTAAACATCCAAAAAATGTATTTGCAAAAAAAGGTGGGAGAAGTAAGGAGAGAAAGCGCTGAATTCTGACTTCTGAATTTTTTTCTAATCTGGTTGGGCTTTATATCTGTTCCAAACTTTGTGTCATTGGAAGACAATAGCAAAAATGGCACCATAGTAATTTTATAAGGTCTGACATTGATTTGATTAAATGGCTGTATTGTTATGGGCTGTGCAAACACATGTACTAGCCAGAATCCGCCCCACATACATAGCACCTCCAGTACCTTACAAATTGTGCCAATGTGTGATATTACTTTGCATGTGCAAATCCAGGTGATGGTGTCTACTCAGCACTTCCTGGAAAAACAATGGGTAGCACTACTGACAGGTGCTGAAATGAATTGCACTGGTTAGGACTGATACTTACTTTGTGAAAAAACTTACTTGCTGGCTGTTCCTTTCTGTGTGCAATGACAATGCCTCAGCTTCTATGAATATTCAATTGAACAGTGGTGCAGTGATGCAATTCTGTATCTTAGCCTGTCACGCTTCACACATTTTCTGGCAAATGTCCTTTCTGCTGAATGCTTTGTGGGGACAGCCAAGTTGAAATAAACAGGGAAAACACCTTTGTTTTTTAAGGACTGAGATGATTAATAATACACTGTTTGACTGATGGGATGCTGTTAAAAGGGCTGTTAGCATCTTGGAGAAGCTCCATCTGGGATGGAGTAGCTCCATGCAACAGCTGGGGGCTCTGATTGCATGGAAAGCAGCTCTGTAGAGAAGGACATGGGCATTGTGGTAGGCAGCATGTAGAGCACAAGTGAGCACTGTGCCCTCACAGGGAGGGCCAGCTGCATCCTGGGCTTTGGCAGCAAGGCTGTAGGCACCAGGTCCACAGAAGAAGTCACTGATCCCAAATTGGAACAAAAGAGTGTCTAATTAGGCTTTAGGAGAAATATTTTCCCCATAAGAAGGGTCCAAGTGTACCAGGTTACCAGAGAGTTTGAGAAATTTTGGAGATGTTAAAAAAATCAATTGGCCCTGAACAGCCTTCTTTAACTGAACCAGCTTTGACTCTGGATGGGACAAGATGACCTCCAAAGGATGGTGTCACTTGTGCCACTTGGAAAGTCAAGAGGAGTGGTGGAACCAAAGGATGCCCAGCATAGGAGCAGTGAGCAGGTACCAAAATCTGAGTGCTCCAAGAAATGGAGGCTTCTGGAAGCCTCAGTGTGGGTAAGGTTTGTACCATGGCTCTGGACTGTATGTCACTTGCAGATATTTTCTCCAGCTGCCTCCACATACCCTTCCTTAGCCTGTGGCCTCAAGTCACGCATACTAGCACATTGTAAAAGTTACTTGGATGCTTTGAAAGTGAATGTTGGTTCACAGCAGACTGCAGAACTTATATGTAAGTGAGATTTGGAGCTGTGCTTCAGAGTTGTCTGGGGTCAAGAGAATTTATGTTGAACAGTACTGACTCCTTCAGTGAGATTAACATGCTGCAAACACAAGTGTTTTTACAGATTTTCAGTTGAAAGTTTCACTCAAAATATTCACAATAACAATTGCTTGTGTTCTTGTTGCCTAAGAGACTCTGAATATCTTGGAGAATTTCACCATGGTAAAGAAAACCTTTATTTATCTCTGAAATGAATAGAATTTTTTCAAAACATAAAAAAATAAATGCAATGTAACTTTATCTACTCAGACTGCCAAGTAAAATTAAATAGATAGCAAAGGAAGGAGCTGACTTGTGGAGAATTTGTAGATAGTCTGTTTCTGCTGTCCAT